AAATATAATAATGGTTTTTGTTCGGGAGCTTTTATAAAAATATAGAAATGATCATTCTTTCTAAATGTGATGTTTAAACTGTGACAACAAATAAACAGAAACAGACTCGACTGAATAAGTAGGTAGGCTATGTTCATACCGCTTTATTTCTGTGTGACTAATTTTCAATCCTGATAAATTAATTCATTATGATCAATGTATCACTTATTATTGTAAAACATTGATGCTTTTGGATTTAAATCTTTAACAAAGCATACAAACAAACTTTTATCATGTTCGTTTTGTGATTGTGCTACTTATTTCTTATTAGTTTTCTGATAACTTCTCTTTGTTGGTGAAATGATGGGGTTGCGTGACGTTGTTCCTGAGAGGCGTGTAAAGGGTGGGTTTTAGTGAAGCGCAGCGCAGCTTCTGGCCCGCCGGTGGAAACGCAGCGTGATTTTGGCCTCGGTGCTACAGGTCCAAGGCTATTAGCCCCGCCCGGCCCGTTTAAAGCACTGGCCCGACAGTGGAAAAGCGGCTATAGAGACTTAAGGTGGGCTCTTTTGACTTGGGCCAGTTAGCAACTACATAGCCACATGTCTAAGAACACCTTGACAGACTCATAACAACATCCTAGTAACCACCCATAATACTCTAGCATCAAGGAGGGGCGACATGTTTATGGCGAAGTACCACTTACATTTTTATTTTGATGTAAAATGTAAAAATCTATTTATTTAAAAACTATTTTTTCCCTTTCGTCTCTTCTTTTTCCCTCTGTAGCTGTCTGGGAATTCTTATTCTCACAAGGTAGACATATATTCCCTCGGCCTGATTCTTTTTGAGCTTCTCTATCCATTCCGCACCCAGATGGAGAGAGTCAGGGTAAGACCATTGTTCAGATTTTTGGGGCCTGTAAGATTTTTGTTTTTGAAAGTAGTCTCTTACCATCAACTTACCAAAGCTGCAATTATTTGATCAAAAATACTGTAAAAATAAAAAATATTGTGATTTTTGTAGCAATATAAATGTATTTACTGTCACTTTTGATCAATTTGATTTGTCCTTGTTGAATAAAAGTATTAGGATAAATTATTTCCAAAAAAAATAAAAAATCTTACTGACCCTAAGCTTTTGAACGCTAATGCACTCAATTAAATGCAAGAATAAAAATTGAGTAGTATATTTTATTAAATTGTACCAAATGATAAACATCTAACCGTTTTTCTTTCAGACTCTCACAGAGGTCAGAGCCCTGCAGTTTCCTGTTGCTTTTTGTAAGGCCAATGCCCTGGAAGTAAGTTTGTTTGCGTTTGTTTGCCTATGCTGCTGGGTATTTTGCAGTGGATGTGGGAGGTGGAGTGGGAGTGACCTTACAATTGGGAAATCCTAAAGATGAACAACACTTCCGGTGCCCCCTATAGGTGCCAAGTTACAATTACAACATCAACATCTCCAGTCTAATATTTTCCATTCATACAGCAGCAGAATGCAGTTGTTAGACCTGTTTTAGAATACTAAATTTAGAATGTTAAATCATCTGTATCTGTATAGTACATACCATTTTATATAAATAAATTATACATACGTTCATATATTCATACATTACAGAAAATTGAGCACAACTCTGTAGAGTACAGGTTTGTTCTGCCACCATTTTCTGTTGTGAGAATAAAAAATGTATTGCCTTTGGTTATTCGTTCAAATAGACAGTATTGAAACTGATACTGTAAGCAAGTGGTTCTCAACTATTTTAACTCAAAGGCCCCCTATATTTAAACTGGAGCTGGAGGTGCCCTGCAGAATCCGACAACGCACTCGAACGTACAGCGCTTCATCTGCAGGACGACCGTCGCGACAGATATCCTCATCAAACTAGAACTCCCACTCAAAGACAGACACATACTGTGCCTCATCTGCAGGATGACAAACACAACCAGTCACCACCTCTTAGAACGCACATCATTCAGACACTTTTGTACAGATAAAGAGCAGATAAACTGAGCCCAACTAAACAGATCATTCCACAAACCTCTACAACTCGTAACCATAAAACAAGCTGCACGCTGTGGCGTTTGTGCCAAGGGCATTCAGTGATTTACAATAAGCCCCCCATTGCATTTCTTTCAACTCATAGTTGACCAATCCCATGATTCCATGCTCCGGAAACATTTTAACACTCCCACACACACACACTTGCTGTAGGAGGAGAGTTGTTGTTTTTCCAGTGCTAACGAATGCTGATGAATGACCTGCCTTTGAATGCCGTTCACTCTGCATGTCTTAAACAGGAAGTTGTGCGACGTGTGCTTTCCTGTCCGAACGGAAAGTTGTAGGAGTTATTTTTCTCCTCTAATGTAAATAGGCTAAAATAATAAGCAGGAGAGGGTTTGTGTGCTTTAAAGGTGCTCGTTCAAGACTGAACGCACAAGTTCAGTGGCATTATAGCCACTCGTGGTTACAGTGTTAGTGGCTTAGGTGCACATTACTGGATGAACATGAATCTGCATATGCCTGAGCGGATGTGGAAATATTCAAACTGCCTTTAAGCTGGACTTTAAGACATGAATGACACGTTTGTGATGATGGTCAGTATGAGACTTAGAACTGAGACTTTAAACATCATTCTGTAAAATACTTCATGTCATTAGCACCCAGAAAGGTAGTTTACTGTATTTCGAATAATTTTGAAACACATTTTTCCTAAAAAAAATAAAAACTGAATAAGAAGTGCTTTGACTAATTACACAATAAGAAAGGATACAGCTGGAGGAATCACTTCAACCAAATATTCAGCACATACCCTTAATTGTAACATATCAGGTAATTACTGATTGTGTGATTTTTCTTGCCAATTTTGATTAGAAGGACTCAATTTTCTTTTGTATATGATGGAATTTTCTGTATAGTAACTGCTTTTTATGACTTTTTTTTTTTTTCAACTTCTATGGACAATTTTCCTAAGAATTTTTGTCAAAGTTTGAGAGAATGGCGATAAGAGTGGATCTTTATGGTCTCTGGTGATGGATTTGATCTCTGTGGTCGTGTTAAAGAGCACTGGGTGCCTCTGCACCTTAAGGAACCGCTTCTGTATGTATGTGAATACTGGTGTGTTTCCTGAACGGGCCTTTATGCAGCAGAACGGACATGAGATTATGACCTTTGACCCTTAATCAAGAGGACTGCATCCTGTAATCCACGTCAGGGACCACTTATGAACCCTTCACCTTTTAACCTGTATCTGTGACCCCGACCCAGTGAAGAGAGCAACAAGTGCTGATCCTGTTTGTTTCGATCACTGTGGCAAATCCTTCCACCAGATCTTTCCCTGCTTAATGATCTTCTTCAGTCTCTTGATTTAAATCGGTTTTATTCATGTCTGGTTCATTGTTGTTAATGTAGCATTTGGTTCTGACAATTCAGTTTCTCCAGTGTTTTTCAGATGTTTTGTTTTTCCCTGTGACTGTTGAAATCCCAGTTCATTCTTTAGCCCAGCCTTGTCTCCTGCCGTCTTTGTAAATATGTTAATTTGTTTTTATTTATGTTGAGTACAAAAATCAATCCGTTGGATTGGTTGAGGTATAAATAAGGTATATGAATGCACTTCATCCAGTGGAGTGCGTTGAAATATTGTGACTTCTTACAAGTCAGAATTTAATAAACATTCTATGATGTTTGTAAAAGTGCTTTGTCTTTTTTTATGCTGTCTTAAAAAAAAAAAAATCTAAAATGAATGCACAGTATATAGTCTTTTTTTATGGATGCAGTTTTTTTTATTATTATTTTTTACAGCAGTTTCCTGCTATAAGACATGCTATACGTAAATAATCTTAAATTAAAAATTCTAAAAGATTTCTTGTAAATGTTGTATATAGTGTTATCATGCTTTTCCAATAATCGTTTTATAGCACCGTGAAACAAATTATTTATAAAAGTTTTGTTTCACTTTTATTTCTAATGTTTGTTTGTGATGTTTGACATGCTGAATACAAAAATCATATTACTTTTTGTGTGTCATTAACAGTGTTGGGCAGTAACTAGTAACTTAGTTACTATAATAATATTACTCTTTGCAGTAACTAGTAGTGTAACTAATTACTAATAAGATTTCTGTAATAATATTACAGTTACCATCCATAAAACAGCTTAGTTAGTTACTTTAGATGCTTCAACCCCGCTGATTTAAAACCCAACAATCAAATAATTCCTAGATTTATTTTCATAATTTTCACAACTCGCACATGCATGTGATGTCCCCAGTGCAGCAGGCAAGCTTGGAATATGGAAAACTTACATTCAGCAGATAGAAATGTTGCATTATATTGATTTTGTCAGAAAAAAAGATGATCTGAACACTTTTGTGTAAGTTGTGGCTTTACTTTACTCTGGCATTACATCCCACCCACATCCCTCTGATCAGCATGTGGTACATTATATTACTATAATTAAAAATCTTTTTGGAAAATTAAAGTTTCTTACAAACTTAATGAAATATAATCGTATATGGGTAACGGAGAAATGACAATTAGCTTCAAGCTACACATGACAATTAATGAGATTAATACAACACTTCTACTTGAATGTCATTATCAATCACTAGAAATTGATGTGGAAGATACACAGTTACAACTTCTGTGGGGCGTGAAGAAAAAGTAATGTAACTAGTAGTGTAACTAATTACTGTTGCCAGAAAGTAATAAGTAAAGTAACAATATTTCTTTTGAAATGAGGACCTAGTAATGAGTAATATATTACATTCTTTGAGTAACTAGCCCAACACTGGTCATTAACTGCTCATAAAAACAAAACAAAAAATGTTGACAACTTATACAAGCTAATCTGTTATTATTCATGCATAAAAATTACATGGTACATGCACAATAGTTTAACATAACCAGTTACCAAACGTGAGCCGTCCAAAACTTCTTAAGTGTAGGTTGGATGATTTTTGTCTTTTATGACTAGTCCCAGAATGTTCTGGAATGTTCCAGAAAGCACTAGAATATTACAGAATATTAAAGAATGTTGCAGAAACTTCTAGAATGTTTCCATCCTTGCAAAAGCAAAATATCTTATATATAAAAAAAAAAACATCCGAATTAGTACAACAACTTATCCGTACTAAACCAATGTTTCATAATTAATGACAGAAGTTCTAAAATTTACCTGACCTAGATGTTTACCAAAATATTGATGCTACTGTTTGTTCTGTTAAACCGCTGCGTGCAGCTCCGCAGTAGCTCACGCTAAGTGCTCCATCTCTCAGCAGCTCCGTCTGCACTTAGCAAGTCTAATTCTCAGTAGACCCAGGTTTGAAATCACTTATGGCAGACAGGCATTTCTGACGTTCACTCGGCTGGCTTATATCGTCATAAAGACTGAATGGAGACAACTGCCAAACTGACAAGAAAAAAGCACAACAGCTCAATTATTCTTCAGTATTTTGCCCGTTATTGAATGTGTGTGCTTTATTTGAAGAAGTACATGATGTGGTTTTAATTGTTAATGATTCTAATGGGACATTGTTGAATGATGATCTAATCGGCTGGGTGGAAGATTGCTGTGCTCCGTCGAGAACCATGTCTCGGTTATGTGTGTTTATCACAGCTGTCTGTGGGAGAGTGTATGTGCAGCTCCCACAGGATTGTGGGTGTGTTAATGAACTGTTTTTCAATGTTAACAAAGCTACTTGAGACTGTAGTCAGGGGCTTAGAATCCTCGTCACCACACAATGCAGCACGTAGCTACTACTGCCACACAAAAAGTTTTGGGAGTGTGGGAGTTTCTTAGGTTCCATAAAAAAATGATGGGGTGTTAAAGGGATAGTTCAACCATAAATGAACATTTTGTCACCATTTACTCATCCTCAGGTCGTTCCAAACCTGTATGAATGGGTCCCCAAAAAAAGAATAAATAAAAAATAAAACATGAATTGACTGATTGATCTTTCAAAGTTATCAATTTTCAAAATTTCGATATATTTCGTAATAATATAATTATTTTGCATTATTTTGGCCACCATAATTGTGTGATGAAAATCTGATATTGTACCAGCCCTGGTTCATAACATGAAATAAAATCGTCATTTACTCAACCTTGTCATTCCAAACCCATGGGATTTTCTTGTAAATGATGACTGAATTTGCATATTAGAGTGAATTATCCCTAAGAGTTTCTAAAAGTGTATTACATGAAAATCTGAGTTAGTTTCTGTTTTGACCATTACTTGTGAAACTAGTCTTACGCTGCACTCACTGTGCTTGTGTTTTTACTATTGACCTTTGGATCTTGACGTGAGACATGCCTGTTATTTAGTTCCCCAATTAAACGTTTACTGAGGGCTGTTAAACTTGCTTTACATAATTGTAAACTGTAGGTGATTTATTTTAGTCTTTTATAATAACCTGTAGGTATACTCTTTAGGTGTATGTGCGTGTGTTAGCAAACATGGTTCCATTAGTTTAATAATGTTGTGTCTGTCATACACAGGCTAACGGGACCCTCAGGTTATCTCTCTGACGGACCAGGAAACTACAAATACAAGACCAAGTGCACATGGCTTATTGAGGGACAGTGAGTATTGGCCTAAAAATGAAACACTCTTTCTCAGATTAGAGGTCTGATCGTTAAGCCTGAACTTGGCCTGTTAACAACACCTTGTAACCTGACATGAACTGAACAGTAATGCAAAATTTTACATTTTGACTTAACGATTACTCTATCACTCGAATAACGCTTGATTACTCTTCCATCACCCCTGTTATATATATATATTATGGTAAGATTGTTGATTGTGATCCTGCCTGATATTTTCTGCAGTGTTGGCCACCACTTTTTTGCTTTTTGATTTGGTTTTCTGCCACAGTAATATAATGCTTTGTAAATGTTTGTCAGTATTAATATGCAATGAAGTAATTGCTATATCATGTGATTAATTAAAGTTTTAAATGAATGTCAATCCTATATTTATTAATTATTTCTATAATACACATTTTGATTCATTGCCTATTTGAACCATTTGTCAGCTCCTGTCAGGTTTGGGTCATTTAGAAGACCTCTATATCAAATACATAGTATTTGTGTGGGTTATGGTGGTTGATGGCTGTTTTCTTGACAGGCCGAACTCAATCCTGAGGCTTCGCTTTGAGCATTTTGCCACTGAGTGCAGCTGGGATCATCTGTATGTGTATGATGGAGACTCCATCTACTCTCCTATACTTGCTGCCTTCAGGTATTCTCGTCATTTCTCTTTATTTCTGTGTGTGTGCGTGAGGTGTAAACGGGAGGAGTGAGATGTCTAGGTTAGGCCTGTCGCAATAATCAGTATATCGACTTATCGCACAATATATGTACATGACCTCAATAATTTTTGGTGACGCAATATATCGCCCATTATATTCACTTAAAAATGAATGTCACCATGTTTTGTACATTCCACTTGCGCCTGTGTCTTTTGCAACTTCCCGTGGTGTAGTCATGAGGTGCTAGTTCAAATTTTAAAAATGCGTACATGTACAGTAAATGGACATACTTTCCAGAAGGCCAACAATTCATTAAAAATGTTTTTTTTTATTGGTCTTATGGAGTATTCTAATTTGTTGAGATAGTGAGTTGGTGGGTTTTTGTTAAATGTGAGCCAAAATCATCACAATTAAAAGAACCAAAGACTTAAACTACTTCAGTCTGTGTGCATTGAATTTATTTAATACACGAGTTTCACAATTTGAGTTGAATTACTGAAATAAATGAACTTTTCCACGACATTCTAATTTATTGAGATGCACCTGTATATCGCACAACAAAAAGTTGTTATCGTGACAGGCCTAGTCCAGGTAATGACCTGTTAATCCAGGATCAGATTAGAATACGGTAGCTTCCCGGAGGGGCCGCTGTGCCTCTTAAGCTCCTTACACCACATCAGACACTGATTTTGAACACAAGCGTCCAGTGTGAGCGTTCCCTAGGAAATATAACTGAGTTCTGGTGGAAATACCCTGATATATATGTCATTCATGATTAATTGATTCTTCAACCAAAAGTGTTTTATAATAAGTTTGTAGCATTTGACTGGTCATGTGATCTTAACATTGCATCCACCATTAAAATACTACCGTTCAAATGTTTGGGGTCAGTAAGTGAGTTTTTTTTTTTTTTATTCATTTTATTTTATTTTATTTTATCTTTTTCAGCAAGGATCCATTAAATTGATCAAAAGTAACAGTAAAGACATCTTTAATGTTATAAAAGATTTTTATTTCAAATAAATGCTGTTCTTTCAAACTTTTTAAAATGTATCTTTTTTTATTTTTTTTTTGGGAGGAATTCTTTTCTTTTCCTGCAAGGATGCATTAAATTACATTTAAAATTGTTTCTTATTATTGTTTTTATTGTTATTTTAAATTTCACAATATTACTGTTTTATTGTATTATTGATCAAATAAATGCATCCATGGTGAGCAAAAAAAAAAAAAAAAACTTTTAGAAACATAAAAAAAATGCCAACACCAAAATAATTATTTATTTTTATTTCTTGAAGTGGAGAAAATTACAGTCATCTGATTTTTTTTTTCTTTCTTTCAAGACTTTAAGTCTTGTTAAAGGGTTAGTTCACCCAAAAATGAAAATGAGACTGTGTTTTACTTACGCTCGAAGCATCCTAGGTGTTTATGACTTTCTTCTTTCAGACGAATCCAGTCGGAGTTCTATAAAAAATTGTCCTGGCTATTCCAAGCTCTATCATTGCAGTCAGCGGGTGTTGCAGTTGAACAGTCCACGAGTCGTCGAATAAAGCTCGTGCATTCATAATAAAACGCGCCGCAGACGGCTCCGGGGGATGAATAAAGGCCTCCTGTAGCGAATCCATGTGTTTTTGTAAGAAAAATATCCATATTTCAAACATAATAAACA